TGTAATTTAGGTTGACAAGTCTTCAAAACCGGAACACAGTAATGCTGACATTACAGCTTGGCAATAGAAATAGGCAAGGTGGCAGTGCTACCCTGGACGAACTCCTTCACAAGGAGTTCTACTATAATAATAATAACGCACACACTCAACATATCTACTAAAACCTTTATTAATACCAACAAGTATGGGCCACCTTGCTCCATACATGGATTGTAGTGGTAGTACGCAGAGAGAGACTTGCAAAGAAAATGGTAAAACTATATTGGTTTAAAATGTAGGTGTTATGGTGGCAAATCTTTCCTTGATGTAGTGTATCGGTGGACACTTGGTAACGTAATTCAAATACAATGAATAAATAAATGAATTATGAATTATAGAGTCCCGCCTCTACGCCGACCTACACGCTAATAACATCAATGCTTTCGTCGTTTAACGTTTTCGTTTAGCTGCCTGTTGTTATTGAAACTTAATTGTCTGTCTGTATGTAAATTTATTACGGATTATTAATGTTCGTTAAAGGTTGGGTAACATGACTGACGTTTCGGCTCGAGATGATTATGTTAATTACTTCAGGTTAGTAATTAACAGGTAGGCTTTCTATTGCCTCCTACTAAATCACGAGAGTACCTAATTTTTAAAATAACATTTTATTAATTGATCTATCCAATGGTTTCCAAGTAAAAAAATGGAGTCTATTTGTATCCTCATTAAATTTAATATGTTATATATATACAAATACATATACTAAAAAAGTTTTGACATCCTGAGGGTCATGAGCAAAAAGTCCACGCTAACGAGCTTTTTGTTCGCTTCTTTAAAGCCTCCGGTGAGCAGAGGACTGGCACTTACTTCCGCCAAACATGTTTAAATATCCAAAGGCAAAACGTTGCTAGGTTGCGCACAATACGGGAAGGTTGCGCACAATACCCCAGGACGTAATCCTCGATGAAACTATCGAAGTAGATATTTTTTTCCTTTTTTTATATATTAAGCATATTTGGTGCATTATTTCCTTTTATTACTAAATGTTTGTTGAACAGATAAATAAATAAAAACAAAAAAAATGACAGACGTGTACATATTTTAAACGAAATCGTGTTAATAGCGCTTATTTTTCATAACAGAAAAGCAAAACAAAACGAATGAAACCTAATACCGGTAAAATTAAGTTACATTTTTTTTACATATACAATTTATGTTCAGTGATTATGAAAACGATCGAATCGATTATTAATCGTAATATTTTTAATTGACTATTATATACGATAACTTTATGTTAACCAATGTAGAGAGCGCGTAGAGCTGTTTTGCTACTTGCGACATGTGGTAAGAATAAGTCTCTTTAAACAAGTTATCATTAGCTTACTTGCATACACTGCCGGACATTAAATCCTCCTGAGTATGCCAACTCTCCCGGTTGCAGCCGATGACGATGCTGCTACCGCAGCCAGCTGCTGCCGGCTACCTCTCTCAGGTCGTCCTATACTACGTTTTATTAACGTGGTCGCCGGTCTAGAACAAGTTTGCTCCATCGCTCATCAGCTCTCCTGCAGACACATGTGGCCTACTGCCACTTAAGCTTCTCGATACAAATACTCTTAATAAATAATCCCGGTATTATCAACTGACGGGACGAACGAATCGTGTGCCTGATGGTAAGCTACACGCCTGTCCATAACAGTTGCAGTGCCACTCAGAGCTTTAAAAAAATCTTCTTTGTCAGTTTTAGGTTGATGCGCCTTTTTGTTATATCTGTTTCATTTTCATGCTCGTGCACATTTTAGGCGCCCTATAAAAGACTAAAAAGCTTACCAAATTTGACCAGTTTGCCAAGATTTCATTCATTGACAATAATTTACGTGTTGGATAGAAATCTAGATTGACGGCGTATTTGACAAGCAAAAAAAGTTAGAATAATATTTTTGGAATGAACCTGAGCACAATATTTCTCTTAACAATTTTCGTAGGTGTATTTTTTTTGAACCACTCTCTAAACCAGCATCTATTTTTTTTTTTTAATACATGATTGTATAGTTAATGCCTTATCTATATTATTACTAATTATAGTACGGTATGACTATGCAAGGAGATTATTGAGTATGAGCTAGAGGTAAATTTGTCAAAACTGTTTGTTCTTTGGTTTTATCGTTTGCTGTAGTTTGAGAAAAAAAGTGAAGTTTGAGGGTACATTTGACAACTAAATTGGATCATTTGCAGGGTGCTTTAAAATTTGTTTCTGGCTTTAAAGGAACTTTAAGTACTTTTTTCTTTGGTCATCTCCACTTCTCATTAGTTCCCTTCCTTCATTTTTTTTCCATGGACTGCTTGTTGTAGGATAATAAAAGATTTTTAAAAATTCATAATAGTTTTTATTTAAATAAGAGATTACTCTCAAAATGAATTCGATTTGGATAACACGTTTAAAGAAGCATAGAAATTGTGCACTTAATAATTTTTATCTCATTGGAATTATGCACTATAAATTTTCTTCTTTGGTGCAATTTAATAAAAATACATATGTTTAATCTATAAATAAATGGTCATGATGTTTTAAAGCAGTGAAATAATTGTAATAGTTAAGAAAACAATAAAAACAATTTTTTTTATAAGAACAAAAAAGGAAAAATTGTTTTTGTTGTTTGCTAAAATACCAGAGCAGTAAAAAAACTTTCGCAAATTACAAAAAAGTATAAGCTCTTAAATTTCTCACGCCATTTGTAATTTTGTAAAGTTTTCGCCATCACACTTTGAATTGCTGCAAAAGAAGCCGAAAATGCCATTAATTTATTGTCACAATAGTAAAAACACTGGTTGACAAATTAAAAACAAACTTTACATAAGGCACTCAGATACAGGTGTATAATAAGAACTTTATCACTTCAACAAAATACTTAAAAATATCAATTAACTACATCTTACACTATAATAAATAACAATAAGGCCTACACTGGACGGACCGAGTATCTATGTATTTGTATTAAAATTATTCTATTAAATACAATATAAAATTATACATATAATTAATTATAGCTATCAGTGACACGCATGCTAGAAGACATGAAGTAAGGTTTTAAATGAATAAAGTAATTTATAGAGAGAATGTGTCGTCAATTGTTTCACTTAAAATTGACCAGTTCAACTTGAGCTGGACGGTAATTGCAAAATTACATATTTAATTAACGATGAAATGTGATTCCGTTAGTTTTGTAATTAGATGCTTTGCTGTTTTCCCCACACCACCGAATAGAAAATACTGAATATTTTTGGAATATAAAGGATATACAAACAGGTCAGTTGTTGGCGCTGTACTATTTCAGCTTTCTAATTTGTGATTTCAGCGAAAACGAGAGTTGGTATTTAAAAGTGATATAAAGCCCATTTGCCTGATGAGTGGAGCCAGGGGTGGATGGCCCTTATTTAGTCTTTATTTCTGGTTATATACTCGATGTCGTCACGCCTCATCTCATCTCGCCTTACTGGTGGAAAAGCACCTAAATAGGGTTGTAGTAGCAACAGTAAATAAGGCTCTCGTGTATTGTTTATTGGTGTATCTTTTCAGCTAATACACAATCAACAAAATCAATAGGAAAAAAATAATCATAAAAATAGACTGCTACACAAGTGTTCCTGCCTATGGTAGAGTTTATTATACGGTATAACTGTAATCATATCAAATATGAGGATATCTAGGATTGTGCAAACCTTAATGTCAAGAACTTTGTCTTTTAGTCAACGTGCCAATAATAACATTCAATGTTTTGTTATCTTATAAAATCATATTCGTATGCCCGTTTGGGAATCTTTCTATTTTGAGGATCCGAGTTGTAAATAGAGGTCCTTTTGATAAACACATTTAAATTAGTTCTAGGGTTCTTGATTGCACACAATGGAAATGAAACAATTTTTTCCGGATGAAAAACTGCGTTTAGTTCGCACTCTTGATGTAATAAGGCCACATTTTTAAGACAATTTTTAAGGGTTCTTTGGGTTCCTGATGGGTGGACACAGGGTTTCCCTAGTGCGGGGTTATGAGTGTGTGTGTTATTTATTTATTATTTTATTATATTTTGAAATAGTAGAGTTGTAAAATTTCACGTATATGTCATTTGTGTCACGTAATTCATATTATTTTAAAGAAATTTTCATCTGACGTGAGCACTTTTGACTTATGACCTTATGTAGCTTTATTATAGGCTAAGATTTGTTTTTTCTCAAACAAAGTAACATTACATACTCTTTACAGATCCAATCATGGTTGATTGAAAAAAAAATCCAACATTTTTAATGAATTATTCACTTCAACTCTAGCTTCTTCTTCCATGCCTCTACCATGAGATTAAAATGACAGTTGGCAGTGACAACGTAAACTGTTGTATACAAAATGTTGTTTCTGTTTGTGATCGCTAGAGGCGCTGTACAAATTTGCCATACGAAATTTTGAAGTTATTTATGCGACCTCTAGCGACAACTGTCACGGTAAACTCGTGGTAGAGGCACTGATTGAAATTATTCTTTGGAGTGGGCTCTGCGTTTTACACGGTCTTTTCACGTTACGCAAAAAGTAGGACGTCCTCAATTCGACTGTATTTTTTTGTGCGTGTATATTTCGCGATTACGATTACTCCGACATTTGTGAACCGATTTCAATTATTCTTTTTTTGTTGGAAAGGGGGTATTCTGTAGTGATCCCATACTAATTTGAAGAAAATATTTCACCTCTAAGGATGGCAAATTAGGGGATAAATATGGTTCATTGTATTTAACCTACTTTCCGTTGACCTATTTCAATAAAATTTGACAAGTATATTGTAATTCAACAAACTTTCGAAGACGGTTTCTTTTTACATAAAAAAGTTTTTCTAAACACAGATTTCATGTAGCAAAGAATTTTGGAAAAACCTCCATTTACAACTCCTACTTTTTAAAAATATGTAATTGACGTCACGCGGAACTTGACAGTCACATAAAGTTTTCACTGAATCTAGACAAAAGAACAATGTTCAACTAATCAAGTCACTGTGATGTCTTTGCCTTAACATTTCTAATCTTAACTCGTGCTCTCTGGCCGCCATTCGGAGAGCTGCAATACTCGAGCTCCTTCGTTCAACCTCGGGAGCTGAACCCTGTGTGGTTGGCGGTGATTCGCTTCCAGGGGATATAGGTGGTGATACAGGGGGATCTGGGGATTGTCGCGGAGGGGGTGCCAGACCAGCCAGGAGAGAGTGGAACGGAGGTGTGGAGGTGTAAAGGGGAGCGCTGAAAAGCGGTGGTCGGGGTAGGGGGGCTCCCAGATATTGGGCCCCTAGGACTGGTGCGCCGCCATACCTGGTGGAAGAATATTACTTTAGTTAACATATTTTTAAAGTTTCTTGCATCGTATTGGATATTGTGTTGTTAACCTTGACAAGTTCAATGCAGAATTTAACCTGGAGGGTTGTACCAAAAATGTGGTATTTTTCAAGAAAAGGATCTTACAAACAGATCACTCAATTTACAACAACTTGAACTGAACTTAAATGAATTGTTGTGCACAGTTGTTTGATGCCCTAACAAAATGGAATCTATTGTCAATGGTAGGTCATGTCATATGTATTGTTAACGTTTTCTTTAGAAATTCTCGGTCTCGCTCGGCTCTGCAGTGTACGCGATAAAAAAAATAAGGAAACTTTCAGACGTCGAAACCGCTAGATTGGTTTATTTCAGCTACTTTCACGGTCTAATGACATACGGCATTTTGCTTTGGGGTAATGCCGCCGATATC